ATTAATCGTTAACACTTAGGGCTTACGCCTTTTTACGCCTCATTCTAACAAAGGCTTAAGCCTCACAAAGCTTGAGGCAAAATCTGCACGCTTTGCCTCAAGACATATGCCTCACGCCTCAAGGCTTAAGCCTTTTAAAATAATGAATAGAATAGGGTTACTTTGTTGATATCGAATTCAATATTCACAAAACGGTTCTCACACCATACTCACAGCCACTTGTAATTATACATTGGGAATATCTCCCCATGAATAAAAACTTTTAAATATAAAGATATTCTCAATACATAATTGCAAGTGGCTATAAAGACAGTGTGAGCATCGTTTTGTGAGGACTGAATACGAGTTCTACTTTGTTTGAGGGCCAAGTGTCACAATGCCAATGCCATTAAGTACAAAAAATGGTGTTTGTAATTTAGGAAAAAATTAGGGATAAGTTGACTGCACTCCACCTCAGACCTACAACAATTCAAAATTTAAAACAACTCCACCTATAACACCCATACCTGCTTATAAATTAGTATCAATTCCGAACTAGCACCTACCCCGAGTTAAGATTTTTGAGGGTAGACTGAAAGTAAAAACCCCAAAAAAATTATTCCTAACAAACAACGCAGAAATGACATTTATTTTTTCACTCTGACGGTTGACATATAACTTGGTTACTTGTCCATCAATGAAGTGTAATGGTCTTAGTGGACAAACAGAGAAATCTGGAAAGAAGGTTTTCTATTCTCTCTATAAAACTTAATCGTTTGGCAAAGTTAATTCAGGTAGAATATATATAAATGAGCTCGGACGGTTTGAGGTGCCATGCTCCAAGTTAAGGTTTGTAATATTTGACACGATTTGTGAATATAATTTGAACAGGATTAGTAGGTTTTGGTTTATTTTAATTGTATTGTTATTAAAATTGTTTCAATCTGTTTAATACAATTAATAATTGTGTCAATTTACAAGGAATTAAAGAGTTTAATCATATTAATATTAATTCGAGTTACGTGGTGTTACCTGTATAATAAAGAGGTCATGTTTATCTGAATACCCTTCCATACCTTTGATGTGAGACATAAATATGAATTGCCACCCCTACTTCAACCTCAAGCATAGATTAGACTAGAGTAGATGCACCTGACATTAGTGGATAGACCTTAAAATTCCAAGGCTCATTTGGTTATATTCCGAGTCCACAAGGCCCATAACTCCTGGACGGGGAACTAAAATCTCGATTTCTGGTGGGCCTGAGATGGTGGGTAATGAGGAAAGGCGGGTTAAGTTCTTTCCTGTTATTATAGATTTTTCTTTTGAAAATGATTAATAAAATTTAAGGTGATCGCCAAAATGGTGTATTTGAATGGAAAGATGCAGAGAAACGAAGCTCTTGATCGGATTTGCACTGACCTTTTCCTGAATTGGTTGCGGCCCTCATCTCTGGGTTGTGGTTTGATGAAATTACAGACCCCAAGACAAGAGCAGTATGGCTGTATGGGTAGGGGTGTCAATTGGACTGGATTTGGTCCAATCCGATCCAGTTCAATGTGAATCTATTACAAATGGATCAGGTTTAATTGAATCCAATGAATAATTTGGACCATTTTGGATCAGTCCAATTCAATGTTTGGACCGTTCAATTTGTTCAAATTCATTTTAATTTAGATTAGTTTCAACCCAAATCCGGTCCATTGACACCTAAATTCTTATCTTATATCAATGGACCAGATATTGACTTAATCCAACCAAATCACCAATATAAATTTATTACGGATGGATCGGGTCCAATCCAATCTAATAAATATTTTGGACCAAATTGATCCAATCCACTATATATTTTTGGTCCATTCAATCCGCCCAATTTGATTTTGGACTGAACGGGGTTCAGTCCAGAACCGGTCCATTGACACCCTTAATATATGGAGGTATGGAGATATGAAATAAGTGAGGAAGTTGGAGTGATGAAAAATGTAAACAAATCACAAAGCTTGGCTTCTCCATCAAAACGAAAGCAACCCCAGCCCCAAGATGTTTTCAAATGGAGATCGAAGCTTCCGAGATAATAACAATTAATGGTGATTGCGTGCAAGTGGAAATGACCAACTAGAGAGAATAGAAATCTGTAGAGAGTGGAGAGTGAATAGAGACACTCAAAACTTGCGCTTTCTTGTTAATTGAGCTTACAGGATACATCGTCTATAACACCACCAACAAGGAAGAAACCCCCCACCATCCATATCTCACCCACTAATAAAAACAACTTTTGCTAGTACCTTCATGGATGGTTTTGATGCCTAGCCAAATAACAACTCCAAAAAAACTTGCCACGTGTTTGATCTTCATAACATCAACATCACAAAGGTGGGACCTAACTGGAATTTACGAGGAAGCACGGAGGAGAATACCGGAAAAAACCCCCAAAAAATTGTAATGGAGTTACACTAGGGTTGAGATTGGACGAAACTAGAATACAAAGAAGAATCGTTTACCAAAAGGAAAGAAAAAAGAATAAAGAGTCACAAAGACCGTTTTGACATGAGCACAGATATGCTGCTCGTGCTATATTAACTATAATTATATAATTATATGTTTTGATGAATTTAATAATATTTTGAATCAGATGTACAGGATAATTAATAGTTTATGTATTCTTTTATTTCTTAATCTAATAATTGAAAATTTTGTTGTCTATTTATGTTATTTTATTTATTTATTGTTTTTATATAATAAAAAATAATAGAAATTTAGATGTGAGTTTTAAATCCAACCCACTATTGCCCTTGAATACGGGGAGGGTTTGGATTCTCAAAATCCAACCTGCTAGGCGGGTAGAGTCTATAATTTACAAAATCCTCTCTGAACCTACTCTGTTGTCATCCCAGCTCGAGCTAGGGTTATATATATCATAAAATGTTGGACAAACTTAAATTACATCGGATCAGTACCCGAGGCCTCAACCTAAGCCCAATCTGAGTCTAATTTAGGCTCGAGTTTTTTTTGGCTCAAGTTCATTTTAAAATTCAAAAACTCAAATCCAACCTGTGCAAAAGCTTTGATTGAATCGGATTGGATTTGAATTGGATACACCCAACTTGCACCCATAGATCTATTGCCTGAAATTGTTTTAACAAAGGCCATACATCGCATGCGTCCCCACTAGTATTAACTATAATTATATGTTTAATACATTTTTTTCCATCCTCTTTTTCTTCTTCTCTCCCTATGTTAAGTATAACTGTATGTTTAATACTTCAAAAGTTCTGAGATAATTGGAACTCATCAAGCCAAACTGTTTAATCTTGCATTTTGATAGGAGTATAAATTCTGAACTGAAATGCAGGCATTTGATAAGAATATGATTTGAAGCATAAGTGAAAGTAAATTTGTTTTTCTAGTATATTTGAATTCAAAAATAGAAGCAAAATTTGTTTGTACAAAATAAAAATAAACTTTGCCCTCAAAATTGGACAATGTATAAAAAAAGTTAATATTAATCTTAGAATTGATGTTTATACACGTGACAACCAGATACATTTCATGAATTCATAAAGAATACAGAATTTATCAAAATAAAATAAAAAAAAGTTTATAATTTCATGAACCATATATATTTGCATGTGCAATAACACAATTACACAAACCACATTTCCATATCATAACCAATTTGCTTGGAGCCCGAATCTCTTGCCCACGTTTATCGCAGTCATACATGGAGAATATCTCATCCTCTTCATAGTATTATACAGGGGGAGATGTTCCCAATTCACGGGGGTAGTGTATTGTGGGTAGGCATGGGCAGAGTTTTGATGGGCGGGAGATCCGGAATCATTTGTTAGAATACAGAACACCTCCTTCCAATTTCTCTTTCCGTTAGGCTATAAATGGTATTTGATTGTCCAAATTCAAATTTAATCCATTTATAATTATATATTTATATCAAATATGAATCTACCCCAATCCAATCTAATTGGACTCAATTTAAATACATGTACTCATATACTTAAAATTTATATTGTATTATCATAGGTTCAAGTTTCATGCAATTAATTTTTTTTTCTTCGCCCGTAGGTACACACAATTTTCAATACATTTTTTTTCATGAAATACAATATCAAAGTCATGTTTTGTTCATTTTATTAATAATATATAATATTTTCACCATTTTTGTTTAATGATTTATATCATTCATTATCAGACTACAGTCCAAATTAAGATCTAATTCAAATTCTACTTATATCCAAATCGATTCAATCCGATTAGAGCCCTACTCCCCATTTGAATCCAAGATGAAAGCCAACTTATTTGTTATTGACTGAAGATAAAAAAAAATAAAAACATATAAAAAACTTATTTTTATTGAAACAAAAATATATATTATACTTGCACGGATATTACTTATAATTGACATAACTTCTATCTCGTATTATAAGTTCTACCCCAAGGACCCCAAAATCTAAAACCCCTTATTCTATTCTAGAGTAAGAAGTTGAGATTTCTAGTTATAATTGTTCATTAGATTTGTAAGGTCATGTGGATTTACAACAAAGGAAGATTTGAGCATTGGAATTTTCCTAAAGCAGGAAAAGATCCATTAAAATCGAATAGGAAAAGAAGAAGTCCAAGAATTCAGTAAAACTTTTTTTTTTCTTTTGAGTTTTGATAAATTAGAATTTAGTAAAACATTGGAGTTTCAACTTTCAAACAGATGGGAGACCTTAAAGAAACCCCTAATTCGCCTTGACTCGGAGTTCATCAGTTTTAAAAGATTACTAGCAACCAGACGCTTCGTCCTATTTCTATAAATCAAATTGCATTTCTCAGCAATCGATGAACTGCTTTCGAAATCTAGCATAGAACATTTCATTGATCTGCTGGACTGCTCGATTAGTGATAGCACCTCATTCATCGGTTGGACGCACAACCAACATAGTGTAGAAGCAATGAATCAGCTTCCCCAAAACCAATATTTTGATGATGGAGAAGACGGCCCTTCAAAAACACAAAACCCATAACAAGGAACGAACAAAATTTTAATACTGAACTTTCCTAGCATTTAAACTAAACATAAACATTTCTAGTGGCTACAAGATCTCTAATACAGAAAAATTATTGTTTAAACATTTCACCAAGGAGTAACACAGGAACAGGCTAGGATAGACACACGGTAACAGTAAATATCTGATGGACGGAAGAACAGAAACTTCTTTATGTGTTGGAGGTTAGAGAGCAACATCTCCAAGAACATGGTGCTCCTCTGCATGAAAATCGCCAGCATCGTGAACATCCCAGAACACACTACCCGCGGCATCAGCTTTACCCATGTCCAGGGCAATCGCACCAAAGATGGCTCGGTAAGCACCACAAAGGACGGACGGCAGGGTAGAGTCTGTCTTCCTTGAAACCCTCACCACTTTGTCCAACCCTAACCGCAACGCGTCGGCAGCGCACGAAGACTGCATTTCTGAGACATCGGTTACCCGACGATTCAACTCTTTGGCCGACATCTCTATATCCCGTTGGAGGTAGCGGAGAGACGCTGAAGTTTGGATGACGTTCATACCCAAAATCGCCAAAGCTCTGTAGTTCTCTCCGGAGTAGGAGGGGTGGGTCACTGCCCGACGAAGAGGTTCTATGTTCTTGAACTTGTATCTGCAGCGGATAGAGAAAAGCAAAACAATTTAGAAGAGCCTCATCAAGAAAATAAATAATAAAATAGATGGAGCTATACAGAGAGGTGAAAGCATCAAAACTTACCCGATTTGCTTCTGCAGGGCTTCTAATGCATTGGAGAACCGAGACAAGTCTTCCAAGTTCCCAGCGCCTCCCTGCTCACACACAAAAGAAAAGAAAAAACAAAAAACAAAAGACATGAAAAACATATTTAAGGAGTTTGGTGTAGGGCTTCGATGATCGGGAGAAATTGGTTACGGATGAAGGAGGTTGCCAAACCTGAGGAAGGGTACAGGACGAGAAGGCGAAGACGATGAAGATGAAGATCATGGTGACCCGGGAATTCATCCTTTTCGGTGTTTACTTCGCTGCAAAGAAATAAGAGAGACTATTAAAAACTCAAAGGCTCTCTCCCTCCCTCTCTCTCGATCTCTTTCTCCAACTCCAACCTCCGAAGCTCTGTAGTTTTCGCTCCACTTTAGGCAACCATCGAGACTCTCAACCACGTCATTTAAAGTAAAGAGGGCACCTTTTTTATACCCTAAAATGCCCCTTACTCATTTTATTATCTAGCCATAAAATAACGGAAAGAAATGCGGATTTATTTGTAATTTCGCATACTGCGTACATAGTACATAGTACATTCGCCAAGAATTTATAGGGGAACAGTAGAAGCCTAGACGGTACTCTTGGCCAACAAATATTTAAGTTCCGCTTAAAAAAAATAATTATTTAAGTACAATATTTACGGAATTTCGTAGTGAATAATACAATTCAGAATTAACGCCAACTTCTTTTTCTCTTTTTCGCTTCATGGGGCTAGACAACGGGGGTAGCCCATCCCCTTTCCCTTAACCCCCCAACCCCTTGTGGCAGAGGGATTTGATCCCAGCTCTCTACTCCGATGGTGAATTCAAATTGAAGTCAATTCCGAACTGACACTTGCCCCAACAGTATTTTGGGTCTACAAATTCTAACTCAGGGTTGAACCGTCATTCTCCCATTTATGTATACTAGAGAGATAGAGATCCAAATCACTGATGTAGAAAGTGCGTTGTGACACCATTATCTTAAGGGGGTAATAGCATATAAAGACAACTTTTGGGGTTTAATATCAATAAAAGTAATATATTTAAAAATATATTAACTTTTTTAAAAATAATATCAATAAAGGACAAAACACTGTTCATCTTCTCTTGTCATTTGTTCACCAGAGCCGCTGCCCACCACCGCCTCCACCCACCTCTGCCTCTACCTCCGGCAATGCCGCCGCTGCCACCTTTTGCCAGAGGCAGAGGCAGAGGCGGCGGCGGACGGCAACGGAGGCAAGTGGTGGCAAGCAATGACAAACGGCATCTCTGATGAACAAATGGCAAGAAGAAGAAGATGAACAGTGTTTTTGTCCTTTATTGATATTGTTTTTAAAAAAATTAACCTATTTTCAATTTTTTTTAAATATATTACCTTTATTGATATTAAACCCCAAAAGTTAGAAACCCTAATCTTAATACCACACGGTCCACACTCCACACCCCCATCCCCCAAAAAAAGAACGATTTGTGTATTTTCGATAGATTATTTTTAGATTACTAAAATGTAATTTTCTTTTGACACCTAGAAGGCAAAGAAGCTTGCATTCATCCTCGGTTCAAATTACAATCAGACAATAAAGCATTACGAATAAAGTATGGAGGAGCAGACTTGGTTACGAATAAGTGTAATAATAATAAGAAGAAAAAATAACGAATGAGCCACTTGATTACCCGAACCGCCAACGAACTGAACTGAGCAATGGGAGATTTGCTGAAGTAGATCCCAGAAATCTGCAATGACTGAGTGAATCCGCCAAGGGACTGGGGAGGAAGACCCCAACGTAGAGCATTTGAAATTTTGAAGGAGATGCTCTACTAAAATGTTATTGGGCATACTATTAATTAATTACTTTGATGAGGTATCGTTTTTATCTTTGAACACATAAAATATACTAAGACTATAGGAGTTGTCGAGTTGGGATGGGTAGATTCTAGTTGTTTGATTCTTTGCTCCCAAAAACACCTCCTTACGAGGTTGTGATGAGATTTTTCTTTTTAGATTGAAAAAGAAAAAAAAAATAAGATGAAATGAAGAAAACGACCATCAATAATTATTTTCCTTTTTTTTTTCTTTATCATTTTCTGTTCGAGGTACAAGAATCACACTCTAGGTCCAATCATCTAATTGAGCCGCAAAGTTCAAACATCTGAACAGAACATGTAAAAACAGAACCTCATGTTCACAACATGACTGGCAAATGATGCTTCCTCTCACCCGGAAGAAGAATTAAGTTCTACAACTTTCTCTTACAAGAGCATGACATCATAATGTACATAAGCCACAAAAAAAAAATGCTCATAAGGCTATTGACGAAGACCAAAGCCAACCTCCATGGATGTGAGGCAGGTGCTAAAATTTACACACTGAAGAATTCAAATGGAAACCAGCATTGCACCCTCAGGCTTTGAACAGAGAAAACAGGTTCTCCAGCAGACATGAAAACAATCTTAAACTCTAACACCAGACTAACCTTAACGTTACAAACCAGCTGGAAAATTGTTGACTTGCCCTTGTTCCAGAACATCCTGGCCGTTCACTTTATAAGCTATCCTTATGCGCATGGCGAGAGGTTTCTGAGAAAAACAATGCCTTTAAGAATTCACTGATTGAAAGTTTTAAACTAATGACTATGATCTATGATTCAGCCAAATGAAATACCATCAGCATGTTCCTAAGGGATATATGCATTTTTTTTCAATCAATAATATACCAAGACATATATACATTCAAGCATGCAGGTAAGAGGGATTTCAGCTATGTTACAGACAGCAAAAGTATCAGCAAAGGCCTCAAATACAAATGCAATGGCATTTTTTATGTAAATAATATAACCAGCTTTCACCAATTGATATGGGGTGTTCTCCAGCATGGATTTTTCTTTTGTTTTAAGTTTCAAAAATAGAGGCCCCACACCAGGTTTGAAAAAACATTGATTCTTCAAACAGAACATTGAAAAGAAAAGTTATTGGTTGTGTATTGGATGTTTTGATTCCAAAACGGAAACCAGAAACCTATTCTTGAATTTCTGGTTTCAAAAGCATGTTTTCATTTGGTGATTTGATCTTTAGTCTTTGGTATATAATAACAATACTTGGTTTGGCTTCGCACTCAGACCACCATGCAATAAATCTAATCCCTTCATTTAAATGGGAGATTTCTTGTGTACAACACACAAAATAGTAGCCTGTATCAGCCTTGTGCATGAATGTTCTATTTTCGTAAGGAGTTTCTTTTTTTTTTTCAGAAACAAGGTTATTTTTTTGAATGAATCTGAAAATGTTTCATTTTATTTTGATAAAAACAGATTCAAGAATGTGTTTTTTTTCTTTTTTGCTGAAGTGGCATGTTTAGAAAGAAGAAAAACAAAAACATTCATGCTGGACAACACCCCCAAAGATGATATTTAGACATTACAGCACCAAGCTTCATATTCTACAGAACATAAAATTTATTATCTTGTTTACAAGGATATTTCAAGACTAGCCATCAAGCTGCCTATACTTGAAACAATATGATACCTGTCAAAACTTATAAGCACTCAAGATATGGATTTGATCAAGTTGTGAGTCATTTAAAAAATTACAACATCAATATGATACCTGTCAAAACTTATAAGCACTCAAGACTAGCCATCAATTGATCAAGTTATAAGCACTCAAGATATGGATTGCCTTTTTTGGACAATCTAGGCTGGTTTGTGGTCAGATTGTGTCCAGATTGCAGTGTGTGCATGTGGGCTTCATCCTTGGTGTTTCTAGGACTGTTTGTTTGGTGATAGGAGGGATGGATAATCCCCTTTTATGGACAGAACTATCTTGAATGGTTATTACTGCTAGAGGAAAAAATGGGTATATTAATGGTAAAATCAAGGAACCAAAGATTGGTAGTGCTGAACATGACAGATGGGACCAAGAAAATAGCATGATGATGTCATGGCTCTTGGTTTCCATTCTGCCACAAGTAAGGAAGGCCTTTATGTGGGCTGAAACAACTTGTGAAATATGGGAACAAGCAAAATCTACCTATTCAGTACAGAGACACTATGCAAAGATATATCAATTACAAGCAGAATCCTCCACTTGCAAGCAAGGGAAGAGGAGTCTCTCAGTGTACTATTCAGACTTGACATCAATTTAGAAGGAACTGGATCATTATCAAATGAATTGGAAGTGTGATGAGGATGCAAAGGCCCAAAAATCACTTGTTTCCCAACAACGGGTATTTGCCTTTCTTTTGGGGCTGAATCCTACATATGAATCCATGAGGGTACAAATCTTAGGAAGTAAGAACCTACCTTCAGTCCAAGAAGTTTATGCCCTAGTTCAGTCTGAAGAGAGCA